TTTATCAAGCCGAGTGCACGTGCCTACTCGGAACAAAATGATTCCCCTCTAGTCTCTAATAAGCACTTGAGTTCCATATTTTGATTTTCGAGATTACTGAGCCATTTCGCAATTGTAAACTGGCTAGCGTGTTTACACGTGAGGTTATTAACCGGACCTCCGTGGAAGCAGCACCACATCAAAACGCCATCCTTCGGCGATCTAAATGGCGAGATTTCTTCAACCTTTCAATTCTTTTCTCCCTCATACCAGTCTTGGATAGTTAATTGTCTGATTCACGAAGAAACCATGCTTTGATAAGATGTTAGGATAGGATATTTAGCACAAATTGGCCCGGAGTTGGCGAGCTTTGATCGCTTACAAGCCGAAACTCGATAAAACTCGCGCTCAAGTTTCGATCGAAGGCAACACCTGCCTGTTTACGTATATATACTGGAACTGTTGCTGAATTCAACAATGTGAAGGTTTGGAAAATGGCCGAAGTTGGAGATAAACCCGAGCTGCGTAGCAGGTAAGCTGTATTTATGATAAAATCTGCTCGAGATAGGTCACGTACATGTGCTGATACTACTGCTGATACAAACGGCCATAACTTTTCAAATACTGAAAACGTACAGGGGTCTTTGTGTATTTTCGTCGACAAAGGACTACACTTTTTGGCTGTGTGGACTGGAGTTCTCAACTAGCTCCCAAAGTTTAGAGATTAGCTTCTAGATGAAGGCTATTTCCAACTATCGTTCGATGACGATTAATAGTGTCCAGCAATTTGCTTGATTTTCTCTTGCCACTTAAATAAAGAAAAACATTGCTGGTCTCTTGAAAAACTAGAGAGGTTTATGAGTAAATTGACATATGATTCAATACTAGATGTTGCGAATCAAGTATTTTTCAGCGCCACGAAAAATGCCAATTTTATGCTTTTGGAGACGTTGCAACGGGCGCTGACCGGATGAAATATTTTTTGGCTCCTAAAGCGACCAGAAAATAATTTTGAATCAAACAAATCCTGTTTTTATTCTAACCTTGATAAAGTCTTCCAGTTAATAGAGTTTCAGGCAAAATTATTTTTGGTGCGAAATTCAGTGGGTGGTTCTTATAGAGACAGCCTCTTAAAATCTGACTGCCAAATATTTAACATAGGCATGCGAGGCGTGCAAGAGCTATTTGTTTTTGTGAAGTGTCGGAGATAGGAGCATTCATGGAGCTGTTTACAGTAATGATTTGGTTAATTTGACTAGTTATTTTGGTTGCGATGTACAGCAAGAAAGAAACTGGGAATTTATGATGTACATGCGATGTTACATCGGTCATGGTAAGATTGCTAAATAGTAAGCCATAAAATGTTTGACTGAACAAACTACAGTTATCTGACACGTTTCCAGATTAATGTAGATACCATCTTATTTTCTAACAGGCAATTTGATTCGTTCTTTTATACAACCCACACTGTGATTGGTGTGACACGTGAACATGCATAACTTCCTCACTCACCGATCACATAGCCCTTCCAACCCCCAAGAGGAATTCAATGCTCAAAAATACTCAAGTTAAATAAGAGACCTTTTCGCATTTTATACGAGTCGTAAGTTTACTCTTTTTACACAACACAACACTACTTCACCGAAAACAGAAAGAAAGAGGAAAAAACCTCTCTGACACGTTGAAAGTCTGATTTAATTAAATTGCACTTTAACTTGGTGCCACGCGGTCTTCAAAGAACATTTGAACAGTTTTCATACTTTTTACCTTTAAAAATATCGGACTGAAATTAATTTCATCAAATGAAAATATTAAACTGCTACTGAAGAGACGTAACAACCGTCCAGAAACGAAAGTTTCTTTTTTGTTTGATATCCTGGAAAAATAGCCGATAACTTGTCAGCTCCATGTAAAAAGCAAAAGTGTTAAGTCACCATTTGTAACTAAAGATAGCAAACATCTCGTGGGACAGAGTTGTGACGATTCGTCAGCTCTAATTGAATTTACTCCCTTGTGAAAAACAAGAATGTCAAATTACCCTTTGTAACTAAAAAATAAAAATATCTCGTTATATTTGCATGCAACAAGAACAAAACAATCGTTACCTGCACTTACTATTGTAAA